TTTTTTTAAAAAGGTACAAAACGCCGACTGTTTTCTTCATTATTCACGGGTATTTACATGTACATGTATCTGTTGAACACCACTAAACTCCCCAATGACCTCAAATTCAACGGATATTGGACGATGCACGGCCATACATCGGCCGATCCTTGAAAGATGTGTTTATGATGGATTGCCGATGAAGAGCGATGTGAGGCATTGTTGGTTACATCGCTGAATTTTAACTACGAATTTTTCCTACCGATGACCCCACCGATTCGCAAAAAAGCCTCAGTCACCGTCCGATCACTAGTGGTGCCCGGCCAGCAACCACGTCATTTTCATCAAAAAACGCATCGGTTTCTCATAGTCTACCCCATCGCTGGGTAATGTGACTTATACTTTAGCGACGGGTATACGATGAGCAAACAATGTGTTTTATGATAAAAATGGCGTGGTTGCCGGACAGACTTACAAAGACCCAGCGAAGCACTGCTAATCATAAAACGATGTTCCAGGATAATCGGCCGATGTATATTACATCGCTCATACATTGATGAACATCGTTCGAACATCTGTTGACTACGGGCCAATGTTTGGTCGAAAATCGACCAATGATCGGTTGTTATCTGTTGATCACCACGATGACCTCAGATTCAACGGATAGTGGACGATGCTCGGCCAAATATCGGTCGATCCTTGAAGATGTGTTAATGATGGGTTGCCTATGAGGAGAGATTTGAGGCATCGTTGGAGATATCGCTGAATTTTAACTACGAATTATTTCCTACTGATTACCCCATCGATTCACAAAATTGCCTCAGTCATCGTCCGATCACGAGTGGTGCCCGGCCGGTGTAAAGACGAATAATGACCCCCGTCGAATAATGACCGGGGGTCATTTTTCAAAGACAAAAAATGACCACCTACACGTAGAAAAAAGTAATTTTTTGTTGAAAAAGAGTCCCAGGGGTCATTATTTTATTTGTTAGTCCTATAAAATATTGACCCCTATTGAAAAATGACCCCCTTTAAAGTGATACAGAATTTATAACAGGTGCAACGGAAAAATATGCTGTGTATTTTAATTGTTCTTCCTTCGAGTAATTCATGCATTTGTTCAAATAGGTTTGATCCTTGTTCTTCTTAGCACATAGGGGTAATAAAGTTCTTAAAGCAATTAACAATCAATCAATTAATCTTCATTTCTCTGATCAAGGAGCAAACCTAGAAGATGGTACAGGTAAATGTTTCAAACGCACGCTGGAGATGAAATTTATGAATATATTTTTTTTTCTTAACCGACTCCATTGATACGTTGTTTCAGAAAAAAAAAGGTTGGGAAAAGTAGAAATTTGTAGAAGACAAATTAATATCGGTTCATACAAATAAATAATTTGTTCGAATTAATAAGGTTTCATTGGGACGAGTGAATAAAAATAGAAATGGATGACAGGACGCCTCGATGTAGTATATATTTTTCATATGTTCCATCCTATACATGCAGACTATCACAATATAATTAAAGATTTTAAATCTTTGCAAATACATATTCTTTTTATACCCAACCCTCGGTAGAACAACCAGACTTGCAATGAACATTTTCAAGTGAAAAATTAAAAATTAAGAGTTTCACGAAGTCTTTCGATGCTAAAATTGTGTTTGAAAAGAGATTCTTTAATTGTCAAGTAAATAAAATTTCTTTTCGATATTCCTCCTTTTAATGTTTGCTTAAAAAATATAAATTTTTTTTATATTCCACTTGTTTTTAGAAATCAAACCATGCAACAATCAGGAATTTTTCTTCATTTCAACTTTTAGCTTGTATAAGTTTGGCAAATTCTATTTGACAATGAAAGAGGAGGACATTTATAAACACCCCCCCCCCCCCCGAACAAACACTTTCATTTATGTAACATCTTCTTTATACTGTATCATATTATGAAAAGTTAATTGAAGATCATTTCTTTTTATGTCTTTTTATGTCTTTTTATTGAAGATTCAGGGGGTATATAATTTTATCGTGTCCGTCTGTATGCCTGTCTGTCTATCTATCTTGCGGTCTGTTTTTCCACAAAACTTTAACCTTAACCATAACTTTTCATTTATTGGAGCTATGACTTTCATATTTATATGTGTATTCCTTGGAACAAGAGCTTACTTTGGGTACCACCAAATTTGACCTTTTGATCTTTACCTTGGAGTTTGTCCCATTTTACACAAAAATGCCATTTTTTTTACATTGGCCATAACTTTTAAATGGTAGATACTAGTACTCTCATACTTCACATATGTATTTTTTTTTTTGGCATGACCTTTCATTGGATACTAAAAACTTTTACCTTTTGACCTTAGAGATTTCCGTATTTCTGAAAAAAAAAACTTTTTTAACCTTTTTCCATAATTTTGAACGGTAAGGGCTATGGTTTTCATACTTCACATATGTAATCCTTGTTACATTAAACCTTTCTTAAGAAACCATCAACTTTGACTCTTTGACCTTTGATTTTGACATACCTTTCACAAACTTATCTTTAGCCATTACTTTTGAACAAGTGGTGCTAGGGCTTTCCTTTTTTGCAACTGTATTTCTTGTGAGAAGACCCTATTTTGGGTAGCAATATATTTAAATTACATTTAAGAAAAGTTTAATCGTCACTATGTTGCCATACAGGGGCATTGCTGTTTCACAAAAACATCTTTTTATATATAAGAGGAGTTGCGGATAAGAGATGGATACCCTAAAGCGTAACAGACGGACATCTCGATTACTATATACCCTCCCGCTTTTCAAGCGGAGGATATAATAATATATAATACTGCTATTTTTTTCTGTCAGTACGATGATTTCCACCATCGAAAAACAATGTTTACCGAACCCTTTAGGCTCGATAAATCTTTTACTCCTTTAGATTCTGAATCCTCGCATTTACCTTAAAATAAAGCTTTAATTGTATAATGTTATGAGATCAACATATCATCAATTTATTCCCAATTAGCTCAGGTGAGCATTCTGACCAATATGCTTCTTTATTTAAATTTTTTTGCCCCCTTAAAATTCAGCTCTGATCCACAGGGAGTCATTTTCCTACGGGGGTCATTTTTCTTCACGTGGGTTCTGCAAATTTTGAGGTTGGTAACAAATTTATACGGGCAAACGGGGGTCATTTTTCGCTGTCGATTCGATGGGGGTCATTATTCGTCTTTACATCGGCAACCACGCCATTTTCATCTAAAATCGCATCGGTTTCTCATCGTATACCCCATCGTTGGATAATGTGACTGATACTTTAGTGACATAAGAGCTATGTTTAATAAATAATGCCCTGAACTCCATTACATACAACATACATGTAGAAATTATGTCATTATAAGCTTGGCTTTCTCTCATCATCGAATCTTTAATGAATTGATATCAGTTTATGTGACCACTTCTCATCACATAGTTTCATAGTGAGGAGCTGAAAACAAGGGATTTTCGAGACACTGCTTTAAAAAATCAGTATACTAGAGAGAAATTAAACTCTTCTTTTAAACAACTGAAAAACTCGTTAAGGACCTAAAAGAATAATTCACTGAAATATTCGAAATTTTCAGAAACCAATCTCTGTTTTATAAACAAATAGGCATATCTACTTTAATGACAAAATAATAAGATGATGGGCATCAAAAATGGGTACCTTGGCGACAAGGACTTATCAATGTTCTGTTTGCCAAAATTAAACAAATTATCACTAATGATGTTTGTTTGACTTACACATAGCACATTTGATAGGGATAGTTCACATTGTTTAAAAGAAACTTTTGACAGTTAAAAGCCTAGTATTCAAAGGTTCCCAATTATTTGAAATATTAGTAAAAACGACAGCGTGAAAGAACGCGGGTATGTTAAGGCAGCACATGGACCAAATTTCGGCGAATTAAGACTTTTTTTATAATTATATAACACTAATAAATCGGAAAAGTCAAGCATAAAACTTTTGTTATAATTATGCATTGTGTAGACTTCAATGGGACTAACACTACATGAGGCACTTCACCATGACGTCACCACGTGACGTCTATAATTAGAAAATATGCCTTAATGACAAAGTGAAAAGTTCAACACTACCCCGGGGATAATTGATTTCAAATTGTAATAATAATTATGTAAAAACATCTCTGTACCATGAAAAGTGCTGCTAGAATCCTACTGTGCTATCTTAGAAATAATTATTCAACACTTTCTGACAAAACCTTCCCAAAATATTTACATTTTGTTCGTAACATCGAAAAAAATGCATTAATTCCCGTAAACCATACGATTCTAGCAGCACTTTCCAAAAACAATAAAATAAGATCTTTAGATAGAAACAAAAATTAAGTTTCAAATTGTGCGGCGTAGTGTTGAACTTTTGCATCTTATTTGTTACGAAAGACAGAGGAAAGGCTGATCGGCAAGTAAACACCCTCCCTGCTTTAATTTTACAAAGAAAGTGTTGAAGTATATTACCATACCTTATTCATAAGCTTTATTCCCACATGAATCACACATGATATTCATTCTAAAAGCTTTTAAATTCCGATTTCTTATGTTTCTTTACATGAATTCTCGTTACGTTTCACTTTCACTCTGCTAATACATGATCAACAGTTATGACGTCACGGGTTTGGTATGTAACCCCTGTGATAACTACAGAGACCCAGAAACGACAAAATTCTGTTTGTATTATGCCTCTGCATATTTTGATTAATTTTTACGACCTCAAATCAATCTTAGATATCGATTATAAGAAATTGTTATCTCTAAACTTCACGTCATAAAGCTTACTATGACGTCATATCATATAGGCAAGTAGAATATTTGGTTGTAACCTTAACCTACCTGCGAATATCTAAACATTTTTTTTAATCAGAAATTGTATTTATCCATATTTGTCAAAAATTCAAACAAATGATAAAACTTGAACCGATGGTTTAGAACCCTTGAAATAAATTAATGATGAGATTTCGATGCACTTAATAAATCAGCAATCATGGGATCATAGGATCTGATATATTCCAGTGTGAAAAAGACCATTCTCAAAAAGGTGTATCGTTATTGATTAAAGTTTGGCACAGTCCACAAATTAAATGTAATAAAATGTATAAAATAAAAAAGTATAAAACAGTACGTGTATACACAACAAAAACATTAGCTGCCATTTTTCTCAGTCTGTAACAGATGAATGCATAAACAATATAAATGACGTATTATTGCGTCATCAAGTGGTAGTTTTTCTAAGGATCAAATATTATTTTTCTCCTCTATCGTCATGATGGTTCCATATTTACCGAACAGTGGTCTGTTGTTTCTTCTTTTAAAGGTGTGTTCTCAATGTGAGTATTGATATTTTCATTAAAGCTGGTGTCTGGAAGAGAGTATTAGGTAATTGCATGTACCGATATGTCTTTCAAAGAGTCAATAAAAGAAATAACTCATACACTAATATATTATTATATAAAAAATTATAATCAAAATCTTACGTTTTTGTTTCGTCCGAAACGTGCATATCCGTGAAATGATATCTAGAAGTACACAAAATTAAGCCTGATTTAAAACAACAACAGTTATTAATGTTTTCATACATGAATTCAAGTTTTCCGAAATCATTGTGATTCTAAAAAATCAAACAGCACATACCTCTTATAATGGAACATTCTTTTCTTGAACGATAAACAGCACATACGAGAATAACAGCTATTAGGCTGGCAATTCCGATGCAGATTGGGATGCTACAAAGTTAAATTTAGAAATATTCATAAACTTGAGGTTCTAGAAAAATCGGTTTAATGTATGCTTCATTTATAGATTTAGAATGACAGATATGATTGATTGATTGTATACTGTTTAACGTCCCTCTCGAGAATATTTCACTGATATGGAGACGTCACCATTGCCGGTGAAGGGTTGCAAATTTAGGCCTATGCTCGGCACTTACGGCCTTTGCGCAGGGAGGGATCTTTATCGTGCCACACCTGCTGTGACACGGGGCCTCGGTTTATACGGTCTCATCCGAAGGACCGCCCCATTTAGTCGCCTTTTACGACAAGCAAGGGGGTACTGAGGACCTATTCTAACCCGGATCCCCACGGGGCTGACAGATTTGAAATTTGAGAAATGTAATTTACTGAATGGAATAAAGGATACTTACAGTATTTTGATATCAAGATCTGATTCTGAATCCGGGTCAATTGAGAACCCTTTCTGTCTAGAGGGAGCTGAATCCGGATCAGTAGACATCAGTTCCTTTCTTGAGGGTGTAATGGATTCCTTATTGTCTGATACAGTCGTGGTCTTCAAAGTAGACGGACTAGTTGAATCTATTGATCTGCTTGTTTTACGTGAATTGTAGACTAAATCGTAGCACTCAGGATCTACATATGGTAAAGAAATACCTAATAGTAAGTATTTTACATAACGCTTAAAGCATCCTATATTGATATAAGCTGACGAAATGGAATTTTGCGATTTAAATTCAAATTAAAGCAAGAAACATACACATATTTAGCATAAGACTTAGAAGTGAAATGTTTGACTCATTTTTTCATGATACATTCAGACATATATGATTACATTTTAAATCATTACGTACATTTATAGCTCTCGTTGGAGTGATAAAAAGATGGACATTCTTGGCATTCTGTGTCTGAGTTGCTCTGTATTCTAGATCCACCAAAATTGTAGTCTGTGCATACATTTCCTGAAAAAAAAAAAGATTTTTTTACAAAAGAGTTAAAAGTGATTATTTTTAAAAATTAAATTAAATGCATTCTTCATGAAATAATAATTGACAAAATGCCTGATAATTATAATGATAGTTTTTTTTTTATTTTACCGGGTATAATTTTAATCGGCGCACAAACTTCTATTGTTTCGTTAGTATATGCATTTATTACACAGTGGTATTCAAATGAGGAACAAGAGTGGCTTTTGTTTCTGCAGCCTTTTCTGGATGCTGCTTCTTTCCAATCCTGTTCTGTTCTTGGACATGAGTCTACACGAACTGCGGTTTTATTTGATTCTTTACATCCTGCATCAGGTAAATCTGCATGTGTCTGAAAATAATAGATCAAATGATATCTTGTGCACTTATATCAATTCACTTTTACTAACTACAAACGAAAACTTTCTTTTCTAAGTTGCCGTAGAAAACAAGTATTCACATGTAGCTTTTTTCAAGAGACGCTCTTATTTCTATATGCTTTATTTCAATGCTCGTATTCTTGTATTCTTACCGTTGATGCAGAAAAGAGTATCACTGCAATCCACGTAGTAAGGACTAATTTGCGTTGCAATTCCATTGTTTTCATTGCAGAAAAATTACCTGTAATAAAGAAATAATTAGTGCAAGGTAATTGAATGATTTTAAATAAATAAAACAAAATGTGCATTGATTAACTATTGATAAATAAGCATCCTTACTAAGAAACCACTAAATGTATCCGAACTAAAACTGTGGTTTTGCGGTTAGGTTGATTTAATTTGACTGATTGAGTTTTATTACAGGGTAAGTTATATAAACCAAGTACCTGAATATCGGTAGCAAGCAATATGTGTCATCCATGATTTTTATCTTGTCGGGTATTCCCATGCATCATCTCACAATTTAAAAATAAATTCAGTTTAGCTACCATTTAAAAATTTATTCAGTCTAGCTAGCTACCCGTATAAAAGACATAAGGTTGGGACTCTACCTTTAAATACCCTAATCCATGCACTGCCTCAGCGTGTTGTCATGTCCTCTCGCCGCGCGAATCATCTTAAGTTGTATGCTCATCTTGACAAACACCTGTACTGTTTATTCAAGGTATTAATCTAAAAAAATATTTTTGTTTTGTTTTCATAACAAGCTCTTCTCTTAATAACTTGTTTTAATTTTTTATTTTCTTTTCAGTCAATTTCATTCATTTGAATTCTATAATGTTATTAGCCAACAAGGAGAAGTTAATCCTGAAATTTATAAAAGAAGATATTTATTTTCAATCGTTTCATATATTTCAGATATATTTGCAAACTAATTAACTAAATATTTTTTGATTGCGTAATTCGAGAAAGTAACTGCTGACGTGTGCTTCAGTATTACTTCTAATTAACGGCGGTACACAATGTACATGTAGTATGCACTAATTATTTGACTTGCACTACCAGCCTATTCTTTTATCCATATAAACTGCTGAGAATTCTGAGAGGCAGGACTATGAAGTATTATATTTTATACACTCTATGTTTCGTTATCAACTTCAAAATTCATTTTTTTTTTAAATTATGATTTACTAGATATGTACACCTATATTGTTACATTTTTTCCAGTTAACTGTAACAAATGTGTAATGATTATCGAATTATTTTCTGATCTATCTAAATAATGCATACGTGTGAAATCGTATGCGGTCATTATATAAAAATGCAATATTCCCGTTACCTTTTATTAACATGGAAAGTTCTTACAAAGACAGTTTAGTCTTTTTTAATCTAGCCTACACTTTACGTCCTTGCTGTTGTATGATAGATATTTTCATTAAGAATACTAGTAATTTGATTTTGATCACTTTCTGACAAGAGTTAATCAAGTCGTTTATAAATACCTAAATATTATTATTCTTTTTACCTGTAGTATTTAAATAGATTAGCAATGTGATGAGAACAGCGGATAAAATTCAATCTACACCATTTCTCTTTTACCAATTCCTTACCTTAGGGTTTACGAATTAATATTACAAATTTAGTGTACATGTTTGACCCCAACTAATTAGTCGTTTTTGTGTAATTGAAGACTTATCTGTATCTGATATCCATGTATAAGTTTACAGACATTCACGAAAGCAACAGATCGTTTGTTATGCACTTCTCTCTACGAACATTTTAAATGTCTTCTCTTTTTGGCTTGATGTAACTTTAAAGAGAAAAAAATACTACGTTTGATATATATATCGATTGCTGCTCTTGCCGTTTTGAACTGTTAAACATTTAAATAATATTCAAGTTATCAGATTCATAAAGGAGGGAAACTAAAAATGAGGGAATTATACCGTAAGTTCTTCTCTGATTAACTTGTTTTAAGTTTACATTTTCTATTTAGTCCATTTCATTCATTTGAATTCTATAATGCTATTAGCCAACAAGGAGAAGTTAATCATGAAATTTATAAAAGAAGATATTTATTTTCAATCGTTTCATATATTTCAGATATATTTGCAAACTAATTAACTAAATATTTTTTGATTGCGTAATTCGAGAAAGTAACTGCTGCAGTGTGCTTCAGTATTACCACTAATTAACGGCGGTACAGAATGTACTTGTAGTATGCACTAATTATTTGACTTGCACTACCAGCTTTTTCTTTTATCCATATCAACTGTTGAGAATTCTGAGGGGCGGGAGTATCTACTATTATATTTTATATACTTTATATTTCGTTATCAACTTTAAAATTCATTTTTTTTTTGAAATTATGGTTTTCAAGATTGTACACCGATAGTGTTACATTTCTTTGAGCTAACTGTTGAAAATGAGAAGTAATTATCAAATAAATTTAAGATCAATATAGAAAATGCATCTATGTGAAATCGTATGCAGTCATTATATAAAAATGTAATATTCCCGTTACCTTTTATTAACATGGAAAGTCCTTACAAAGACAGTTTAGTCTTTTTAAATCTAGCCTACACTTTACGTCCTTGCTGTTGTATAGTAAATATTTTCATTAAGAATACTAATAGTTTGATTTTGATCACTTGATGACGAAAGTTAATCAAGTCGTTTATAAATATCTATATATTATTATTGGTTTGACCTGTAGTATTTAAATAAATTAGCTATGTGATGAGAAAAGCGGATAAGATTCCTTTTACACTATTACTCCTTTAGCAATTCCTAACTACAGGGTAGACGAATTTCTATGATAAATAGAGTGTGTTTTTGTGACCCCAATTAATAAGTCTTTTTTTTGTAATTGAAGATATATCTGTATCTGATATCCATGTATTAGGTTTACAGACATTCATGCAAGCAACAGATCCTGTGATGGCACTTCTCTCCGGGTACGTTTCAAATGGCTTCCACTTTTGGCTTGGTGTATTTTTAAACATAAAAACTGACGACGTTTGATAAACATATCTTTAGTTGGGCATGAGGTTTTGAACTGTCATACATTTAAACAAAATATTTAAGTAATCAGGTTCATAAAAGAGTTTAATTAAAAAGGAGGAAATTTTACCGTAAAATCTTCTCTAATTAACTTCTTTTATTTTCATATTTTCTATTCACTCAGTTTCATTCATTTGAATTCTATAATGCTATTAGCCAACAAGGAGAAGTTAATCCTGAAATTTATAAAAGAAGACAATTATTCTAAATCGTGTCATAAATTTCAGATATATTTGCAAACAAATTAACTAAATATTTTTTGATTGAGTAAATCGAGAAAGTTACTGCTGAAGTGTGCTTCAGTATTATTTCTTATTAACGGCGGTACAGAATGTACATGTAGTATGCACTAATTATTTGACTTGCTCTACCAGCTTTTTCTTTTATCCATATAAACTGTTGAGAATTCTGAGGGGCAGGAGTATAAACTATTATATTTTATGTACGCTATATTTCGTAATAAACTTCAAAATTCATTTTTTTTTCAAATTATGATTTAGAAGATATATACACCGATAGTGTTACATTTTTTCTAGTTAACTGTTAAAAATGTGAAATGATCATCGAATTCATTTCTGATCTATCTAAATAAACAATACGTGTGAAATCGTATGCAGTCATTATATCAAAATGCAATATTCCCGTTACCTTTTATTAACATGGAAAGTCCTAACAAAGACAGTTTAGTCTTTTTAAATCTAGCCTACACTTTACGTCCTTGCTGTTGTATAGTAGATATTTTCATTAAGAATACTAGTAATTTGATTTTGATCAGTTTATAACAAAAGTTAATGAAGTCATATATAAATACCTCAATATCATTATCATGTTTACCTGTAGTATTTAAATAAATTAGCAATGTGATGAGAACAGCGGATAAGATTCCTTTTACACTATTTCTCTTTTAGCAATTTCTAATCACAGGGTAGACGAATATATATAATAAAAAGAGTGTGTATTTGTGAGTTAACAGACATTCATGCAAGCAACAGATCGCGTGCCTGCACTTCTGTCCAGGTAAATTTCAAATGATTTCTCTATTTGCCTTGGTGTATTTTTAAACATAAAAACTGACGCCGTTTGATAAATATATCTTTAGTTGGGCTTGAGGTTTTGAACTGTTATACATTTAAACAATATTCAAGTAATCAGGTTCATAAAAGAGTGGAATTAAAAGGAGGAAATTTTACCGCGAACTCTTCTCTCATTAACTTCTTTTAATTTCATATTTTCTATTTAGTCCATTTCATTCATTTGAATTCTATAATGCTATAAGCCAACAAGGAGAAGTTAATCCTGAAATTTATGAAAGTAGATATTTTTGTTGAATCGTGTCATAAATTTTAGATATATTTGCAAACAAATTAACTAAATATATTTTGATTGAGTAATTCGAGAAAGTAACTGCTGAAGTGTCCTTTAGTATTCTAATTAACGGCGGTACAGAATGTACTTGTAGTATGCACTAATTATTTGACTTGCTCTACCAGCTTTTCCTTTTATCCATATCAACTGTTGAGAATTCTGAGGGGCGGGAGTATCTACTATTATATTTTATATACGCTATATTTCGTTATCAATTTCAAAATTCATTTTTTTTTCAATTATAATTTACAAGATATGTACACCGATAGTGTTACATTTCTTCCAGTTGACTGTTGAAAATTTGAAATGATTATTGAATTAATTTCTGATCTATCTTAATAATGCATACGTGTGAAATCGTATGCAGTTATTATATAAAAATGCAATATTCTCGTTACCTTTTATTAACATGGAAAGTTCTTACAGAGACAGTTTAGTCTTTTCAAATCTAGCCCACACTTTACGTCCTTGCTGTTGTATAGTAGATATTTTCATTAAGAATACTAGTAATTTGATTTTGATCACTTTCTGACAAGAGTTAATCAAGTCGTTTATAAAACCTAAAATATTATTATTCTTCCTACCTGTAGTATTTAAATAGATTAGCAATGTGATGAGAACAGGAGATAAGATTCAATCTACACCATTTCTCTTTTACCAATTCCTAACCTTAGGGTTTACGAATTAATATTACAAATTTAGTGTACATGTTTGACCCCAATTAATTAGTCGTTTTTGTGTATTTGAAGATATATCTGTATCTGATATCCATGTATACGCGTACAGACATTCACGCAAGCAACAGATCGTGTGTATGCACTTCTCTCTGCGTAAATTTTAAATTTCTTCTCTTTTAGGCTTCATGTCACTTTAAACAGAAAAAAAATACTACGTTTGTAATATATATCGATTGCATCTCTTGCCGTTTTGAACTGTTAAATATTTAAACAATATTCAAGTAATCAGATTCATAAAGGAGGGAAACTAAAAAGGAGGAAATTATACCGTAAGTTCTTCTCTGATTAACTTGTTTTAATTTTACATTTTCTTTAAAGTCCATTTCATTCATTTGAATTCTATGATACTATTAGCCAACAAGGATAAGTTAATCCTGAAATTTATAAAAGTAGATATTTATGCTAAATCGTGTCATAAATTT